TCCCTTTAGATACTTTCCTCATCACAAGTGCCAGATGTGTATACCTCTGGTATTTCAGTAGACTAAACAAGATTTTGAAGTTAGCTCAGAATAGGGTTATAAAAGAGGATGTGGAGAGAAGTGGGAAGATTTAGTATATACTCTGGAGAGTTTAATTGATGGGATTTGTCCGATGGGATGTGTAACATTAGGAAAATAGGGGGAGAAATAAAAAATGTTTCTTAGGTTTTAAGTCTTCCTGGATGCTTGACATTTACTATAATGATAAATTGGGAGTGGAGTGCAGATAGGTTTTGTTTGGGATATACTTATTTTATTTTTAAGATTTGTAATTTTAAATGGAGCTAGCTATGGTAAGTTAGACCACTTTGGAATTATTTTGTGGTGTGTGGATGAGATTTATTCCCATCGTGTATAAATTGAGGGATTAGTTGAGATAAGTGAAATAATATAGAAGAGTTGAAAAATCTAGGAGTCAAGCTAAAGGAGGAAAAATAAGGGAGTTGAGAAAATTATAGAAAAATTACACAATACTAATATTAGACAGTGGAAGAACAGTTTTTATTGGTAGCACTGTGCTCATTGAAAATTGACAACCACAGCCAGGCACTGGTGGCTCATGCCTGCAATCCTAGCTACTCAGGAGGCTGAGATCTGAAGATCACGGTTCAAGGTCCGTCTGGGCAGAAGTTCATGAGACTTTTATTTCTAGTTTTTCACAGAAGCCAGAAGAGGCACTGTGGCTAAAGTGATAGAGTGCTAGCCTTGGGCACAAAGAGGCTTATCTCCAATAAACAGCAAAAACCAGAAATGGAGCTGTGTAGGGGTCAAGTAGTTGAGTGCTGGCCTTGAACTAAAAAGCTCAGGGACAGTGCCCAGGCCCTGAGTTCAAGCCCCAAGACTGGCAAAAAAAAAAAGTGTTTTGGCATACATTTAATTTTTTTTTTTTGGGTCTGGTCGTGGGGCCTGAACTCTGGGCCTGAGCTCTTCAGATCAAGGTTAGCACTCTACCATTTGAGCCACAGCGCCACTTCCGGCTTTTTTCTTTTTGCTTATGTGGTGCTGAGGAATCGAACCCAGGGCCTCATGCATGCAAGGCAAGCGCTCTACCACTGAGCCACCTTCCCAGCCCCGTGTTTTGGCATATATTTGAATATATTCAAACTACATTCTCAGCCTGGTAGCCTCCTAGCTACTCAGGAGGCTGAGATCTGAGGATTGTGGTTCAAAGCCAGCTTGGGCAGGAAAGTCTGTGAGACTCTTATCTCCAATAAACCATTAGAAAACCAGAAGTGGCACTGTGGCTCAAGCGGTAGAGCTCTCACCTTGAGCTGGAGATTGCAGGGACAGTGCCCAAGCCCAGAGTTCACGCCCCACCGACTGACCAAAAATAAAAATAAAAATAAAAAACCAACAAAAAACAAAATACCTTTTCAGAGTTAAAAGGGTAATGCATGGGTTAGAAAAAGAATTTTTTTCTTGTTAATAGCCCAAAGTAAAACAGCGATTTCATATTCCAATAGTTCGTGAAGGTGGGGCATTGGTGCCTCATGCCTGTAATCTTGGTTACTCAGGAGACTGGTTCTGAGGATTGTGGTTTGAACTCAGCCCAAGCAGGAAAGTCTGTGACACTCTATCTCCAGTTAACCACCAAAAAAGCTGGATGTGCTGCTGTGGCTTAAGTGGTAGAGCTCTGTCCTTGAGCAAAAAAGGTCAGGGATAATGCCTAGGCCCTGAGTTCAAGCCCCAGGACCAACACCCCACCCCCACCCCAAACACACATGTTCATTAAGCTTTCATTATACTTTTAATATGTAAACCATTTTAGTTTTTCTCTTAAAACTAAACAAGATTAAACTGGAAACTTTTTTTTTTCTTTTTTGCATGTGTGCCTGTCCTGGGGCATGAACTCAGGGGCCTGGGCACTGTCCCTGAGCTTTTTAGCTCAAGGCCAGCACTCTACCACTTGACCCCTGTACAGCTCCATTTCTGGTTTTTGCTGTTTAATTGGAGATAAGAGTCTTAAGGACTTTTCCTCCTGGGCTGGCTTCAAACTGTGGTCCTTAGACTTCTGAGTAGCTAGGATTACATGTGTGAACATTTGGCACCTGGCGACCAAATTTTTTTTTTAGTTGGAAACTCTCTGCCTCTCCCCACCACTCCCATTGCTAAGGATCAAACCCAGGTGCCTTACTTATGGCAATTAATAGTTCTACCACAGACCATTGAGCCTACACCTTCATATGTGTTTTAAATTGATTCCTTAATTATCCTTGTTTGAGACTCTTCATTTTTCTTGAGGACACAGCAGGAGACATCATTATTCCCAAAATTAATAAAAACTTGTTTCCACAGGCAATGCAGAACATTTAAAATATTTCTCTTAAAAACTATTTCTTGATACTTAGTTTTTGTAATTCATAAAAATGAGTATGTTTTAAGTTTTGATATAATCATAGTACATCTAGGCTTGTCATTTGATGTGAGGTGTGAGGACTATCCATATCAGCTCCCCCCCCCCCCGAGCTTTAACTCAGGGCCTGGGTGCTGTCTCTTGAGTTTATTTCTCATAAGACTAGAGCTGTACTAGTTGAGCCACAGCTCTTACTTCTGGGTTTTTGTGGTCTGAAGCCAGCTCAGGCAGAAACATCCATGAGACTGTGCCCAGGTCCTGAATCCATGCCCTAGTAACAGCACCCCCACACCCTAAGAAAATAACCCAGAAAACAAATATTACAAAAAACCTACCCACAGTCTCTTCTAGTTTATTTTATAGACTATATTACATATATATTTACTGCATGTGTAGGGATCAACAGTACTTAAATATTCTGATATTCTAGGAGAGATTATCATCTTACTAGAGATCTATTGGTGAGCTCCTGTAATCTGTTCGCAAAGCATTTTTTTAGTTGCCAGGCGTGGGTTTTGAGCTCAGGGCCTAGGTGCTTTCTCTAAGCCTCTTTTGCTCAAGGATAGCTAGCACTCTACCACTTGAGCCACAGGTCTACTTCTAGCATGTTTTGATAGTTTAGTGGAGGTGAGCATCTCAAGGTTCCTGCCTGGGTTGGCTTTGATCCTTGGATCTCAGCCTTCTGAGTAGCTAGGATTAACAGGTGTGAGCCTGGCTGCATTTTTTATTTTCTTTTCTTTGTTGATTATGGGGCTTGAACTTGGGGCCTGGGTGCTGTCTCTGAGCTCTTTCACTCAAGGCTCTACCACTTTGAGCCACAGCTCTACTTCTGGTTTCCTGGTGGTTAATTGGAGATAAGAGTCTTGCCCAGGCTGGTTTTGAACTGCAAGCCTCAGATCTCAGCCTCCTGAGTAGGTAGGATTACAGGTATAGCCACCGGCACCTGGCACCTTTCAAAATTTTGACAGCATTATTATAAGTGGTTATACTGGCTAGGGCCTGTAGATACATACAGATCAAGATCAAGGGGTAGCAAGTTTGAATCCCTGAGTACAACAAACCCCAGTACCATCAAAAGCCAAAATCAAACACAAAATAAAAACTTGAAAAATACAATGTCAGAGATTGCCTGGGTTTCTGCCTAATAAAAAGGACCTGTATTAAATCATTGAATGAAAGAAGTTTTCTAAAATCTTTGATAATGTTCCTGCTTCTGGACCCCTTGATTTTAAATCGCATATTATGTATTATTGAAGAATAAAGCGAGGAAGTCTGTACTCTTATGGATCATTTCTGTACATTGTTGCTAGAAGAGTTTCTCTGATGTAGAGTACTGGAAGACATGAGGATATCTCGCCTGAGACTGAAACCATTTTTTTTTTTTAGGGCTTTGCTTCACTGCCAATTGATGATTGATATTTTCCCTTGGGAGAGTCAGAGGGAAAGAACACTCTAACATTAAAAGGAATAATAAAAGTGAAAAAACAGATTTAGAGATACTTGACATTTACACAGTTACTTTGTAAAAGTTGCTAAAGATTTGAGAGGTGCTCCCTTGCACACACTTGAAATTGGAGGAAAAAATAGGCCTAAATGTTGAACAGTATTGTATTTGTTTTATCTGTAATTGTAGCTTGGACTATGCAGAAATGGCAAAAAGAATAATGTATTTAATGTAAATACATTCCTACTAAGTGTAAGTTGTGATCTTTGGTATTTTTATATGTTGATAAAAATATAGGGAGTCTCATTGATATCTGACTGATTTTGCTTTTGAGAAAACTATCTCACACAGGTATAAATGATGGGTATTGATTATTCAAAGGAGAGAAAGGGAGCTAAGTTAGATTAGCATTGGGCCAGATACTGAGCTAAGTATTTATAATGTAAATAATTTAATCTTTATAACTATCATATTAAAGTAGGTATTATTAATGTATTGTCTTTGCTATACAATTGAGGAAATAGGTTTGGAAGGGTCACATAGATGCTATTCTCTGTGTTATCTCAGTTTTGAATACCTTAAACCCGTGTTTGTTTCTATAAAACATGAATTAAACAGTGTACCTGGCCTTAAAGGGACTCTTCTGTAAGCAAAGAAATAAATCAATAAATTGAAACTGTGTGCATTATATATATAAAGTTTAGGAATGTGGAAGTACCATTTCACTATTTGGGATATTCAGGCAAGTTTTTATAGAGTAGTTGGTGTGTAAGTGAAGTATTGACTAAAATAATTTTTTTGAACCTAGTTTCAAGTTAATGTTGCTACATATATATATATATATATATATATTTTTTTTTTTTGGTGGTACTGAGGTTTGAATTTATTGTCTTTTGCTTGCTAGAAAGGAACTTTACCACTTGAGCCTACCACCCTAGTGCTGCTACTTAAAATTGTTTGTAGCTTAGTATTTTCAGCAATAAAATTTGTATGCGAGTATTATAGTGGAAGTCAAAACAGTGTAAAAGTATTGCCTAATAAACATTGAGATATAGTATTGAGTGAGATAAATGTTAAAAAGCTTTTTTATCTTTTGTTTTTTGTCTAGTAATACTAGATGTAATATGATTTCTTTCACTATAGGTGTCCTCCTCGCACTTTCTTACCAGCCCTCTGCAAAATTTTTCTTGATGAAAGTGCTCCAGACAATGTGTTAGAGGTGACAGCTCGAGCCATAACATACTACCTGGACGTATCTGCAGAATGCACCCGAAGGATTGTTGGGGTAGATGGAGCTATAAAAGCACTTTGTAATCGTTTGGTTGTGGTTGAACTTAACAACAGGACTAGCAGAGACTTAGCTGAACAATGTGTAAAAGTGAGTATTACTATGCAAAAAACTAGTTGGATCATATATGTCCTCATTCACCCTAAAAGTTTTATTTATTGGTCCATCTGAAAATCACTTACAGAATGAAAAGTATATTTTACTAAAACAGAATTCTTCCTGTCACCAACTTTATTAAGAATAATTGTGAACAATTGAGATCACAAGCCTTTTGATACCAAAAAAGGTCCCATAGAGCTTAGGAAAGAAAATTTGTGAATGAAAATTTAAAGGTTACTGATAAGGTCTTTGGTGCTACTGGTAGTCATTAACACTTAACGTAGCTTATTTATATTTTTGCCAAGGTTATTTTGTCTGATACTAGTAAGAGTCCCCTTAAGAACAAATACTAGCCACCCCTGCCAGGCATCATTTTAGGCCCTTTAAGAGTATTAACTTGGAAATGGTGCTGTGGCTCAAGTTCAGCCTTGAGCTGAACTGCTGAGGTACAGCACCTAGGCCCAGAGTCCAAGACCCATGACCAACAACCAAAAAAAAAGAGTATTTCACTCATTTAATCTTTGTGACAACGGTACATTTCTATTTAATAAATTTTTTTATAAAATCCAGTATATTGAAGTTAAATACTTGTTATACAGGCAGCAAATAGCAGAGCCAGAATTTGAAAATTTGAAATTTGAAGATAGAATATCTGGTTCTAGGGCCTGTGATTTAATTATTATTCTACTACTGTCTTTTAGAGTGAGACTCAAGTATAATTTTACTTAACTCTAAAAGAATCCATGTTGGTTAATTTATTAACATTATGTGGTAAGTACATTTAGGTTGTTTTATCCTGAGACAAAGTCTCACTGTTTTGTACAGGTTGGTCTTGAAGCAACTTCTGGACTCATGATTCTCCTTCCTCAGCCTCCTGAATGTGAGGGCTCCCAGCACTTGACTGTGATTCTCTTTCTTTGATTCATGCTTCTCACTTAAAAAAAAAATTCTTAGATCAAAAGAGTTCAAAGATTTTTTTCTTAGAAGTCCTTCTTTTTTTAATTGTTACATAAATATGATGTGCAGAAGGGTTACAGTTATATAAGTCATGTAAAGAGTACATTTCTTTTTAGAAAATGTTCAGTATCTCTTTGTAAGTCTTCGAAGAGCAATTCCCAAGGAGCCTTTGTATACATAATAATTTATCTACTATATGCTTGCTATATTAGATACTAAAACTAAGTTCAAATGTTTATTAATTTTTCTTAAACTTATTACATGTTAACATCTTTTAATGAAAAAGGACTTTACAAAATGAAAAGAATTAGTGAGAAACTGTCATTGTACATTTTTGGAAATCTTTAAAAACTGGCTTGACTAGAAAATGGCTGAATCTGCTTCCTGGTTGCTATGGTACAATATTGCACTTCGTAAAAGACAATAGCATTATAGTGTTCATAGTGTGAAACAAGTTTAACTTCATGGCTCCTTGAAAAATGCCTTGGGAACCTGGAGTTCCCAGACTATATTTGAGAACTTTCTGTATATATAGGTATAGATTTTACCTGTTGTGTCCACAGCTTCAGAGAAAAAGATACCTATTTTTTCATTAAGACCTTCTTCACTATTTGCTTTATTTAACATTTCATGTTTCTTCTGGGATTTTACTTCATTGTTTATTAACTGTGTTTTCAAACTCTTACCTATATTCTCAGCATATAAACATACTGTTCTGTGTGTGTGTTTGTTTGTTTGTTTGTTTTTGTCAGTCATAGGGCTTGAACTCTGGGCTTGGGTGCTGTCCCTCAGCTCTTCAGCTCAAGGCAAGCACTCTACCGCTTGAACTACAGCTCCACTTCTGATTTTCTAGTGGTTTATTGGAGATAAGAGTCTCACAAACTTTCCTGCCCGGGCTGGCTTTGACCCTGGATCCTCAGATCTCAGCCTCCTGAGTAGCTAGGATTACAGGCGTGAACCACCGGCACCCGGCTGAACATACTGTTCTTGAGCCATCTCTTTTTGTGCTATTTGTCATTTAACTTTTTTCCGTTTTTTTTTTTTTTGTAGAATGGGGTTTGAACTCAGGGCCTCACACTGATAATCAAGGGCTTTACCACCTGAGCCATGTCTCCAGTTGCCCATTGTTGTAATTTTTTAAAAATATAATTTTCTTGTTATTAAGATGTTATACAGAGAGTCAGGTAATAAGTACATTTCTTTTTTAGATAATGTTACCCCTTCCTTCACTTTCACCTAGCTTCATCGTCCTATCCCTGCCCACAAGTTGCATAGTTCATTTTCTACATAGTGTATACTGAAAATTATGACTGCATTTGTTTATTCTTCCTCCCTCCCTTTCTGTGCCCCCTCTCTGTCCCTAAAAAGACAAAAACAGAACAGTACCAAAAAAAAAAAAAAAGACCAAAAGCAAAAACAAACACCATCACTACCATTGTTTAATTTTTTTTTTTTTTTTTTTTTGGTCTGTCGTGGGGCTTGGGTGCTGTCCCGGTGCTCTTCAGCTAAAGGCAAGTGCTCTCCAGCTTGAGCCACAGTGCCACTTCTGGTTTTCTAGTGGTTTATTTGCAAGATAAGAGTCTCACGGACTTTCTTGCTCTTGCTGGTTTTGAACATTGAGCCTCAGATCTCAGCCTCCTGAGTAGCTAGGATTACAAGCGTGAGCTACCAGCGCCGGCTTGTTTAATTTTTATATATTTTATTTAGTTAGTTAATTGGTTGTGGGACTTGAAATCTGGGCCTGGGTGCTGTCCCTCAGCTCTTCAGCTCAAGGCTAGCACTCTACCACTTGAACCACAGCACCACTTCTGGTTTTCTGATGGTTTATTGGGGATAAGAGTCTCACGGACTTTCCTCCCTGGGCTGTCTTTAAACAATGATCCTCAGATCCCAGCTTCCTGAGAAACTAGGATTACAGGTGTGAGCCACTGCCACGTGGTTATTTTATTTATTTTTACATTATTGAGAAATCAGATCCTAGACTTTGCTCATATTAAACAAGCACTTCCACTCAGCTATTCCACTAGTATCTATTTGTCTATATTTTAGATCTGTATTTAAAGGAATGGTATAGTTAATACCTTATGTCTACCTTAACTTGGTAGTTATTAATATTTTGTTCCCTCTTTTCCTCTTCCCTTTCCTGCCTTCTTCATTTCCTTTTTTTTTCTTTTTTTGGTTGTGGGGGCCTGAACTCTGGGCCTGGGCGCTGTCCCTCAGCTCTTCAGCTCAAGGCTAGCGCTCTACCACTTGAGCCACCGTGCTACTTCCAGCTTGTTCTGTTTATGTGGTGCTGAGGAATTGAACACAGGGCCTCATGCATGCAAGGCAAGCACTCTATCACTGAGCCACCTTCCCAGCCCCTCCTTTTCTTTTTATTGAGTCTTTTAAAATTAGTTGCAGTCATAACACTTTATCTAAATATCTTAGCATGTATGTATGTCCTAAGGATAAGAGCATTCTACCAAGCCATAATGCCATTATTCCATTTATGAAAATGAATAGTGATTCATTCAGTAATAACGTACAGTTTATAGACTTAGTAGTCATCAACATGTTGTTGTGGGTGTTTTATTTTTTTTTTTTTTGGCTTTAAAAGATTCAGAGTAGCTGGGCGCTGGTGGCTCACACCTATAAATCTTAGCTATTCAGGAGGCTGATAGGAGAGTTGTGATTCAAAACCAGCCCAGGCAGGAAATATATGAGATTCTTAACTCCTATTAATCCCCCAAAAGGTGGAAGTGTCATTGTGGCTCAAGTGGTAGAACTCTAGCCTTGAACAAAACCTACTGAGGGACAGTGCCTAGGTCCTGAGTTCAAGCCCTAGCCAGGACCCTCCCCCAAAAACAAAATTCAGGAACCCAAGTGTGTTGACTCACACCTGTAATCTGGCTTCTCCTGTGGCAGATGTAGAGTGATCTTTGTGGACAAAAATGCAAGACTTAACTAAAAACAAATCTGAGCAAAAATGGCCAGGCATGCATGATTCAAGTGGTAGAGCATTGAAGCTTTGAGTTCAAATTCCCAATACTCTGCTCCCCCCAAAATCCAGTTTACACATTGTATATTGTTATTTTTATTCTTATTTAATGAAGAACAGTCCTACTCCTTTTCTTCTATGATACTTTTTTTTTTTAACAGAGTTTAGCCAATTTGTCTTGTTTAAAGTCCCACATTCTAGATTTGGTCAACTGTTTATGAAAGTATTGTTTTGAAAACTTACTTGCACAGTTCCATGTTGGTTTGGGGGTGATGTTGCATAGTTCAAATTGCATCATATCAGAAGGCATATAATTTCATGCTGTTCCATTATTTTTTTGACACTCTAAAAACAACAAAACAAACCCCCCCCACAAAGCCCCTTTTTAGCTGTGGATTTTAATTTCAACTGTTTTCCTATTCATAGCCAAGATTAATACTCTTATTACTATAAGTAGTATTAAGAGATTTAACCTGACTCCCTTTTAGCTGTCTAAAATCAGGCTTGTGCTTTCTTCACTCTCCTTAAAACTATGGGCTAACCAGGCACTGGAGCCTCAACACCTGTAATCCTGGCTACTCAAGAGGCTGAGATCTGAAGATCATGGTTTGAAGCCAGCCTGGGCATGAAAGTGTAGTACTCTAGCTCTAATTAACTAGCAAAAAGCTGGAAATGGGGGCTAGGAATGTGGCTTAGTGATAGAATGCTTGCCTAGCATGCATGAAGCCCTGGGTTCAATTCTTAGTACCACATAAGCAGAAAAAGCCAGAAGTGGTGCTGTGGCTCAAGTGTAGAGTTCTAGCCTAGAGCAAATGAAGCTCAGGGACAGTGCTCAGGCCTGAGTACAAGCCCCAGAACTGACCAAAAAAATAAAGCTAGAAATGGAAGTATTGATCAAATCGTACAGAAACAGCCTTGAGTGAAAAATCTAAGGAACAGAGCCCAAACTAAGGAACAAGTTCAGGCTCTTCATTATCCTCTCCCCTCCTACTCCCCTCCCCCTTGCACCTTCCCCCTCCCTCCTCCCTTCCTTCCCCTCCCTTCCTCCCTCCCTTCCTCCCTCCCTTCCTCCCTCCCTTCCTCCCTCCCTCCCTCCCTTTCTCCCTTCCTCCCTTCCTTTGTCATGGGGCCTGAACTCTGGGCCTGGCCACTGTCCCTTAGCTCTTTAGCTCAAGAGTAGCACTCTACCACTTCAGCCACAGCACCACTTCCAGCTTTTTCTGCTTATGTGGTGCAGAGGAATCAAACCCAGGGCCTCATGCATGCAAGGCAAGCATTCTACCACTGAGTCACCTTCCCAGCCCTCATTATTTTCTTGAAGGTTTTTTTAAATTAGCATTCATTTGTTGTATTAGGGGTATTTCATTATGTCATTTATATGCATAAAATGTACCCCCACCATTAATCACACCGTTTCTGTCACTCTCCCTCATGACTCCCCCCCTTTGTTATTTTTGACCAGTCCTGGGGCTTGAACTCAGGCCCTGGGCACTGTCCCTAAGCTTCTTTTTGCTCAAGGCTAGCACTCTACCCCTTGATACATAGCACCACTTCCAGCTTTTTCTGCTTATGTGATACTAAAATAGCAAACCCAGGGCTTCATGCATGCTAGGCAAGCACTGTACCACTAAACCATATTCCCAGTCGGATCCCTCCCCTCTTAAAACAATAGGTTTTATTGTTCTATTATTATACATCAACCATATTCATCCTCATTTACCCTCTTCTTTAGCGCTTTCCATTCCTGCTGGTAATTCCCCAGCAGAGCCTATTTTTCTTTGAAAGTTCATATTTAGTCTAATACTAATTAAGAGTAACAAATGCAATTGCTTAACACTTTGAATTTCCTGCATTAATATAGTCAGTATTACATAATTGTGTGAGATGTTAAACCTGCCTATTCAGTTGTTTGTTAGGGAATTTCTTTTTCTTTCTTTCCTTTTTTCTCTCCCTCCCCCCTTCTCTTTCTTGCTTGTTTGCTTTCTCTCCTCCCTCCCTCCTTTCCTCCCTCCCTCCCTTCCTTACTTCTTTCCTTCCTTCCTTCCTTTCTTCCTTCCTTCCTTCTTCTTTCTCTCTCCTTTCTTTCTCCCTTTCTCTCTCTTTTTCTTTCTCCCTTTCTCTCTCTTTTTCTTTCTCTTTCTCTCTCTCTCTTTCTTTCTTTCTTTCTCTCTCTCTCTCTCTGCTTCCCTCCCTCCCTCCCTCCCTCCCTCCCTCTCTCTCTCTCTCTCTTTCTTTCTTTCTTTTCTTTCTTTCTCCAGCCCTAGGGCTTGAACTCAGGGCCTGTCCCTGAGCTTCTTTTGCTCAAGGTGTTAGGGAATTTCTTAGTATCATATTCAAAAGGGCCCTGTGTTGACAGATAATTCAACTTGGTTTTTCAATTCTGTTTGCTATTACTTAATCAGCACTTGACTACCTTTTATTAGGAAGACATAAAAAGAGATACATTATGGTCTGTGATTGTAACAAATAGAAGGTAAATATATTCTTCTGTTAATTTTGTTTTACTGTTGCAGGTGTTGGAACTGATATGCACCCGTGAGTCAGGAGCAGTTTTTGAGGCTGGTGGTTTGAATTGTGTGCTTACCTTCATTCGTGACAGTGGACACCTGGTTCACAAAGATACCTTGCACTCTGCAATGGCTGTGGTATCAAGACTCTGTGGCAAAATGGAACCTCAGGATTCTTCTTTAGAAATTTGTGTAGAATCTCTGTCTAGTTTACTAAAACATGAAGATCATCAGGTAAATAAGTTGCTTTGTTTATTTTCAGTCTTCAAAAATGATTTTTATAATGGTCCCTATTTAGAACTATATTATTTGAATATTTTAACTTGTTGAAGTAAAAATAATTATAGAAATTGTCTGCCTACCTACCTGCTTTCCTTCCTTCCTCCCTCCCGCCCTCCCTCCTCCCCTCCTTCCTTCCTTTCTTCCTTCCTTCCTTCCTCCCTCCCTCCCTCCCTC